CTGAGCACTGGCAGCTGTATTCCAACATAGGGTGAAAAGCACCAAGAAGTGACTTCCAGTACTAACCTGACCAGCCACTGAAAACAGACGCCTTTTTGTCTGGCTTTTGTTTTCAAATGGCCAATAAGAACAGATCAGCACTGGCACCATTGTCTGTAATAAATGTGTTTTCACCCAGTGGAAGAGTGTAGTGTGTTGTAAACAATTATGGCACTGAGTAAAGCATAATTGATCACAGAAGTGCCACAAAGGATACATTTGACAAAGCATGGTTTAAAGATCAGGATCTGTATAATGAAGCTAGCACACTTAAGACAGTGACAAGGAGGTATCAGCATTCTTTGGAATGAAATATAAAATGGAGTGACATAAAAAGATTTGATAGCCCTTTGCCGTTTCATTTTCTGCCTCACAGCAAAGCTCAATCTTCTGCTTGTCAGAAGGTTCCTCACTCTGGTAAAGTGGTATTTTGCATTTTGAGTAACTAAAAAAAAAATGCTGTGATTCTTCTCAGATGCAGACTTAGTTTACTGTTGCACAGTGAGAGATCTTTCTGTACGCTATGGGTCCTCTTCATTGCTATATTCTTGAAGCTTTATGTTGGGGTCACTCTGCTAGAATCAGGAATGGCAAATTGGGGTTTTCAGAGACACTTCACAATATGTGGCCACAGGATAAAAATCTGGGTCCTACAAGGAATATTACAGCTTTCTAGAGGCTACATCCTGTGGCCGTATTGTCTCAATTTCTCCTTGTCTTCCACCCCTGGACAGACCTTCCTTTTTCCACAAATGAAAGGTTCCCTCCTTCGAGTCAACCTTATACAACCTGATACAGGTCAAGTTAAGCTGCTTTGAAACTCTGGGTAGCAATACAGCTCTGCAAGATGCAGACAAGAAGGAAGTTTCCTTGCAGAAGCAGATGGTTAAAATATAAGGGGTTTTGAAAGCTGCAACACAAAGATGTCTCATCCAGACAAAGAGGTAAGTGGGTCCATCCAGAGTTCCGAAGGTTTAGGCATAAAGGTCACAGTGTATGAAAAGAGTAGGTGGCGAAGACCTGAAACAAAGAAGTGAGGTAGGAAAGATAATCCTGACTCAGAAGAACATTTAGCCTGACCCTAAGAACAAGCCAAGAGATCAAGTCTACCAGAAGACTTGAATTTGGGAGCAGCTCAGGTGTTTTATTTTCTGGTTTTTGTTTGATTCATTCTGGGCAAAACAGTTACCACCTGGCTTTATCAATGTTTTCTCCTCCCCCTGATTAGAGATGAGTTTTGATTAACTGCTTTAAGCAGTAGGGTGACAAGCACCATGGTGTTCACTTTCCTCTAGTATGTAGCTGCAATAGCAAATTCAGTCTGTCTGGCTTCCTAGTCTCTTACAGAGTTTACTTAAACACCCTGTAGAGAAGCTAAGGGTTATATGACAGGATAGGTGGGGATGCTTCCTGCTTCTGATCTTCACACCCACACTGAATCAATATCAGCAGGGCCTCCTGGCAGTGACTACTCACACGTGGGACTCCACAGAACACAGCAGGTAGTTTCCACCCAGGTTAGCAGAAGCTCAGACAGATTCCGACCACATCATTTATATTTGGGTCATGTTGTCAAACTTTCAAATATTTGGAGGGAAGCATCATCACAGAGGAGTAAACTATACACCTGAGAAGGGTGAGGACTAACTAGAAGCAATGAAGGGCATGTAACTGAGGCATGTTTTCTGTATTTAAACAAAGATAATATGGAAGATCTTTTTAAAGGAAGCTTTTTCACTCTGTCCGTTTGAATTTGTTACCCATATATCAATCCTGTTCGCAACTGAAAGAAAATGTAATTGACTTTCAATTGTTTATCTTCTGTGCGGTTACCTGCAATCCTGTTTTTCAACAAACATCTCACAAACCCAAACATAGTATTAAGTAGATTCTTATTCAAACAGAAATGTCAGAGTACTGGAGTACTTAGAGCAAAAAAACCTCTCCAAACCTGCCACACCTAGAGTATACCTTCCTGCCTCAGGAACAAAGTCTTCTCAGAACAGTATTTTTTATTCTTTATTGCCAGTATGATACAGCTGAAGATGATAAAAATCTTCAAGTATGTTTTACTTGAGCTTCTAATATGAGCACTCTGCAGAATGCAGTAATGAAATGGCTGCTAGAGAGGTTAGTACAAAATTAATGAACAACGCTCCTAAGATCACAGAGTTTTCACTGTTTTTACTGTTGTTTGATAGCATTTGTTAGACTCAGCAGAAAGGGCCTGCCATCATACTGGGAACCTGTGCTCTTCCTGTAACAAAGGAAACAATAACCAACAGATGCTGTCAAACCCCTTGAAACCTTCTGCACCATTTTCTGGCACTAGTTTCCGGCAAAATTTCACAGAACAGCCTATTTCCGTTGGTCTGACTACTGGTTTGCATTCTTTCACAAATGGATTCTTTGAAAGGAGCTAAAATGCTCATAGAGCAGCAATGCTGAGAGAAGGATAGAAAGAACTCTCTAAAACCTTACAGGAGCCCCCTCTCTCAAGACACAGTGAGAAACTTCAGCCTTTAAACTAGCAGAGAGCTGGGAAAGTTTTGGTCCAGGGGATGCCTACAATCCACAGTTTAATTCTTCCTGTTACTACTGAATAACACCAAGATGTCATTGCCATCCTTTGAAAGCCACAGAAACAGGAAAATATTTTGAATGAACAATTGCAATTAGTGAGTCATCAAGACGAATATTATTGGAGATAATTATTCTGTACTTTTGACCTTAAAATGTTAATCTTTGTTGATTTTTACAATAGGTAGGTAGGACACGTGACTAGCACATCTCAGCCACCTCCAGAATGGAGTACTGAGATACAACCACTCTTAATTACTGAAGACCAGGAATGAAAAAGAACAGAGTAAAACTAGCCAGTACGTGAAAGATTAACATTATTCAAATTGGTACTTACTCTCAATAAAAAAAAGCTTTCAGCCCTGCTGATAACAGCGTTGCCTGTTTGCTTGCAAAATGTTAGGGACGTTACTAGGAGGCTGAAAGACAGACATTTCCAGCAACACCAAGCCCTGGAGCAATAGCTAAGGATTAGCTAATATCTGAGAAAAGCCCTGGTAATGGTTTTTGCTGAAGGGAGAAATACATCGAAAGGAGGAAATGGCAGGCAAAAATAACTTTTGCAATCCCGGAGACACCTCCTTTGGAAATTCCCCACCTATGAGTGGTATTCACACAGAAAAGGTGGTGCTCATACCCTCTGTTTCCTGTAGCTCACAGGGACCGATGTCACCAGCCGGGCTCCCCCGGAGTTTTATTCCAAGCCTTTGTCAAGAAAACACCTGAACGCTTCCTCACGCATTCATACATGGAGGAGAAAGCAGAAAGCAGCAAGGCAGGGGGAACTGGGACAGGGCATTCACTTGTCAGGCTGCCCAACCCTACTGCTGCGGTGGGCAGGAGGTGCGTGCCGCATGCGCCCCTCCACGTGCGGCTGCCGCGCCAAGGCTGAGCGCCAGCGTGAAGAGAAACAGCCTCACACTAATTTCTTCTTCTTCTTTTCTTTTTTTTTTTTTTTTAATTAACATTTGTCAAACTTGGAGAGAAGCCCAGGCTGCAAGATTTGGACGCAAAATTCAAAGAGCTCAGAAGCTGGAAATGTTCACATACAGGCTCTTTATTTATGCCTAGTCTTTTTTATAGGTCATGCAGAGATGACTTAATCGCTCTTACTGTACCTTACAATTAAAAATACAGTGATTTATTTTTTTTTGTATGTCATAGCGCACAGCAGAGCTATACTCCAAAACCAGTGTTTAAAAGTAGGCAGGGATTTGTTTTCCTTTTCAAGAACGAATTTTCCCTGAAGTTCCTCTCTTTTGGGTGGAGGAAGAGGGGCCTTTAATGCTATCAGCAGAAAAGAATGAGAATATTTTGGCCAGATCCGGGAGTTGTTTGTAACAGTGGTTTCTCGAATTCAAGTGAACTTCCTGCACGGCACTCACTGATACAAGTTCAAATGATTAACAATGATTAACTTGTGTCATTACTGAAATGCTGAATTCTTGGCATATGATTGAAAGCCACTATAAAACTCTCGCAATGTCACTATTAAGTCACTATCTCCACAGAAGTTTCTCTATGTGAGAATTGGATTAAAATGTAAAAATCCAGCCCTTTGCACTTCCTATCAGCACAGCCCATAATATTCAGCAAATCGTGCTGTCTGCTGACATTAGAAGAGAATGGGGATTGGAATATTACATTTGTTAAAGTGAGACAGTCATGCGTGTAACATCACTCTCAAACATCCTAAATGGCCCGAAAACAGGACGTATAATAGCGTACTGAGCACTAAGGCTACTTCTAGTTCCTGGCAGGGCACTTACATCCATTAGATCCTAGCCCCGAGATAAGATAGCCCAGGGAAATAAGACTTTGGGTCCCATTACCAGGTTCAGAGGGATTTCAGAGCTGCAGAACCCTAAGAAGCAGTATGTTGCCAGCGTTCCTTTTCTGGAGCATTGCAGAGTACATGCAGGAGAGTGAGCTGGCTACTGATGAGCCTTCCTCAGCCACACATTTCCAAGAGCCAAGTCTCAGCTCTCCCCGAGGCCACTATGAGACTGAACTATTGTAGTCCTCACCACAAGGACAAAACCCACGGCTCCTCTGACCAGATGCAGCAAATGAGACTTCTTGTTTGTCCCTCTAGATCTGTCTACGGTGGCTTTCCATTTGGCTTCCAGATGAGGCGTGACCCTGGCACTGTGCCTCCACGCTGGTGTATTTCGGAGGACTGAAAATGTTAAGAGACCTCGGGAGACGAGCGCTGTGTATAGAAGTTAACTCTTAGGAATAGTCCTTCTGCCCCAAATGTTCTTCAGAAGAACACACACGCAGCTTCATGAGCATCCTACTAACTTAGGGACACCTTTGTTTTGTTGGTCTTCAGTTCTGATATGACATTAGATAATAAGCAATATATGAAATTATGCAAATTGAGTGATTTAATTTTAATGTGGTTTCTGCTGCCTGCATTGATCCAGCACTGCAATAATTACACAGATAATAACTTTTTTTTTGGAACAGCCTTTCAGGCTGCTTCTGACAGACCTCATTGCTCTCCTCATGCTTTTAAGGCAGGTGGTGTTGCCACTTCCTGGATCAGTAAGACCACCTTCAGAGTGGGGTCAAGTAATTTTACTGTCTAAATGGGCAAATGGCTTTCTTTGCCAGATAACAATTAAGGGCTGTGTATCACTCTTGAGACAACAGAAGTGTCCTGCTTAGATTAACACAGTTTCAGACAGTACCGTGAAAAATAATGTAGATTAATTATAATTAGCACACTATTTTAGAATTACTTTGGCATAAAGGAGGATAGCTTGTCTTCTGGAGATTCTTCTACCATATTAGAGGGGTTTTGGCCATGCTTGTCTCAACAGATTCACTTCTAATAGAATAAGAGGCTCTATTCATAAGGGAAGATTTTTGATTAATTGTGTTTGCTTTATTAGCATGAGGGAGGAGGAAAGTATTTACATAAACAGCATTTATACAGCACAACATTTGCAATCCAAAAGCCTCAGTGAGCTGCTTTGCAGGCAACGCAGAAGGGAATTGCTTTATCTTAAGTAAACCCACAGTTAAAGTAAATATGCAGTAGCAACACCACCTAACAAAGGGAACATGAATAACTTTTCTAATTTAAGATGAATGTGGGAGGATATAGGTAGGCAGCAAAAGAAGCTGGAAACTGATTTCCAGTGTGATTCATAGAGATTTTCAGCAGTTGCTTGCACAGGTAAATTATAACAGTTGACATTTACATATAGCTTTTCAGTTATTAAACTCTGATGGGTTTAGGTCTTTTTCTTTTTGGCAAATGAAATACTGAAGCACAACAAAATTAAGAAACTGGCTCATGGTACTGACTGTGTCAAGTGTTTTGACTTTCAGACACAGAACTGATCCCCTGATTCTGCAAAATACTGCTCACCCTTAATAGAGAGAAATTAATTGTAAGATGAATGGAGTTGCTGCCGGAAGTTAGGGGAGGATTTCACTGGAATTGTACTGATATTGTCCATGGCTTATGAATAATGGTGACCAAAAGGCCGTACTAGTACTTTAATAAGGTTATTGCTTTGTTCCACGCTCCTTCATTACCAGTAACAGCTAGAATCACTCCCTACCTACGCATCTACCAAGACCAAGGGAGCTTCCTGTTCCATTACATTTCCAACTCCTTCCTCCTACATTTATTTTCCTTCTCATTCCATATTACACAAATAGATTTGGCAACATTTTTCCTTAACAGAAATCAAAATTAGGTGTTCTAACACAAGAACAGGAAACAAGAGTAATCCAAATGATGTCCACGGAGCTCTACTACATACTATAAATGAAAGCAGCATTTGACTCAATGCTAACATAAAGTGACTCTGAAACAATCATGACACATGGAAAAAAAATTAGAAAGCCAACAGTAGTTTCCAAACAGTACTTTCCACATCCTTTGGTCTTATGTATCGTTGCTTCTGTTAGAGACAATGTAAAAATAATTTCAAAAAATATCTATACCATCTAGAGGACCACTCCCCCTCTCCTACCCCCCAAAAAACCAAGTGAGGAATAGGGTGGTTGTCCATTCACAAATTTGTGTAGGGATGCACTAGGAGCATGACAATATTATTGAAACATTAGCTTATTGCTTAATTCATAAACTTCAGTTCAGAGCAATAATTTACTTTTACTTGCAGTTGATGCCAATTTTGACCCAGCCTTTTAGAAAGGGTAATGCTGTATCATTTCAATATCAGCAATTAAATACTTTGTACTAAATGTATGTAAATGGCAATGACAGACATATTAAATTCCTTTCAAGTCCTTTGCAAGCAATTTTCTTTCAGCACTGTAGCATATCAAGATTACAGGCTGTCAGCATCATTCTATAGACTTTCACACTAAACAACATTCTCCAATGAAGTAGAGACATGTTCATTAATAGCAATTTATTAGTACATTTGGAAGGGATCTGCAGTAAATCTTTACAGCAGAAAACTAAACATGGCTCTACATTGAATCCAAAGTGTGCGTGATACTTCTTAAAAACGCATGACAAGCATTTTGTTAAAAACAAACAAGAAAAAAGAAAGTCCCAAGAAAAAGGATACCTCTAAACTAACAAAAAAGCAAATGGTAGAAAACTGTATTTTGAGCAAACCAAGTCAGCTCCAAATAATTTTAATAGGCACCTACTGTGGCTTCTGAAATCATCGTTGCATGCATATCTCTGGTCATATTGGATTTCTCTTTCAGCTTTGACTGGAGTAACGTGTGTTCCATGACACCAATTTGTATGTCCATTTGAATGGTTTCTTGCTTCAGTTTTGTTAAGGCCTGTTTAATCTTCACTAGAGGAGCTGTTAAAAAAAAGGAAGACAAACAGTGCAACTCTGTGTCAGCTACTTAACACAAAAGCATTATTTTCTATAATTCACTCCTTAAAATTGAACTGTTGAATGAACAAAAAGGCGTTCTACTCTAAAGGCACGATTGTACTGATACATAATTTTTAATATGCAAGACACTTTAAAGATAGAAACAGGCAATGACAATTTTGCTGCCTTCTTGACATCTAAGATCTGCATACAGATATGCATCAACGTTAGGATAGGTTTGTCAGTGACATGTTTCGCTCAGCTGAAAGCCTCATCCCAATACCCGACTTTGGGTTTGGTGGAGAACTGAAGACACCTTCAGCAGGAGGTCATCTTACCTGTGAAAAGCTAATAAAATGTTTTGTGTTCCATACTTTGTTTCTAATCCCTCACCTCCCACTAATATCACCCTAGGGATGCTGCTGCTGCTGCATCATTACTGATCCTTGTAATTCTGGGCTCTAGATTTTATCTTGACCCTTGGCCGTGCTGTCATACAGAAAAGGTGCTGCAAAGAAGGCAAGTAGCTCCTTCACAGTGGAGCAAGGGTGCACAAAATTTCCTTGAACAAGTAACACTTAAAACTACTTGAGTAAATTAGCTTTAATGGTTACAGTTAAATATGGATATAACTTGCATATTTAGCTCTACTGTAACATGCATCCATTTTTTCCTGCATTCACACTCCCTATACATTTGCAATAAAATGCATTTATCAGCAAAAATCTCAAACAACCAGATCCCGAGTCTGAGACAAATTCAAATAGCTATGTACTTTTAAACATAAAAAAAAAGTCCAAACATCAAAACACCAAAATTAGTTTTCTCACTGACTCCAGCCAGCGTTAGTCAGGGAATCTACCAGCTACTGCCAGCAACTATTTCAGAGTAAAAGGGCTTGAACCTGTAATGTGTGAATTGATAACTATTCAAAGCAGAGACAAACCCACAAACACCACAACCCTTTCTCTTTTTTTTTTTTAAATTTTACAAATCATTTACCAAAGGGGGAAATTCCTGGAATCTCTACCTCTTGCAAATTTACGTAACCTTTTCACAGCAGTTTAGACTCCTGATTTTCTTAAGACACCTTTTAAAATTTTAATATTGATATTTTAGACTAGTCAATCATTCTGGTCTTGTTTTATTTTTCTTTAGTAAAGCACAAATTATGTGCCTGTCACTGAGGAAATGGGGGTGTGGTTTGAGGCAAAAACTTACTTACCTCCATCAGTCATACTGCTTCCTTTCTCCTCCGTTTCTTGCTTTACTCTCTCTAATACTTCTGTAATCTTAAAATAGAGATTTTTTTCTTAATGAAACCAGATGAATGTCAAGTTAAAAAAAGAAAACAAACAAACAAAATCTGCTGAATACCTGCAGTACTTAAAAAAACCTGTTCCTTTAATTGCAGGAACAATTGGAGGAACAATTTTTTTCAAACATCAAGAAAATTTTAATTTAACTTTAACTAAATTAATGTTGTGAAAATTACAGCAAAAAGAGTAACAGGTTGGCCATGCATCATGGTGTTACGTAGAATCTGCACATCCCAGACCAATAAAAACTGTGTAAGTGTTGCAGTGTGATGGTGGATGGAAGGTAGGAACCAGTGTGCCTGCAAACCAAGATTCACCAGCTGATCATGCCAGCTGCCCTCCTGGGAGTGTCAGGATTTCAGCAGATGAAACCTGAGAAACAGCACTGCAGCAGAAGATGGTGCAGCAGTCAAGTCTGCTGGCACTGGCTCTGGCAGGGGTATGGGTTTGTAAAATACATGTATGAAGAATAAAAGTGCATTTCAGCACTGACTATCGACCAGTTTGCCTTTGTAGACAATAAAGAAAAAGCAAAGACATGATTCTAAGGTGCAGTCTAGGTAATAATTTAGTATTTTTGTCAATGATATAAATATGGCCCTTCATTAAGGCTTCAATAAGCCTTTTCAGTAACAAAAAAGAAACACTGCTGCATTGTTATTGCATGCCTACAGTGGGCTGAGATTTGGGTGCATGCCTGAAAGCAGATCAGTAGTAATACCCAATGTGTCGTTTATCTCAGATACGCACCACTGCATCCACATCGTTTGGAGGCTGCCAACTACATGTTAATAATTACTAATCAGCCAATAATTTCCAACTCACAAACATATTATAAAACTGAAGTCATTGTAAAGCACTCTTTTTTAAACTTACTTCCTTGAGAACAAAATAGAAAGAAGCTCTAATTCTGCAAAATCCATACACTCAGAAATCTTTGTTAGAGAACTCTGGTTAAACTGCTGTGTTTATTACCCACTGCAATTGGACTAGATGATCATTCTGGTCCCTTCCAACTGAACTATTCTATTCTAAAAAGTCTCAAACCTGTTTTACAATTTCCAGCACATTCTTATGGTGTGATCTATTTTATGTGACTATTTCACACACTTTATCATCTAATAAATAAAGTGGGTTTTTCAAACTCTAACAACAGAGGAGTTAAAAAAAATTCTGAATTGGACCAAAGGTTGGAAAACTTGGAAATCAGGCAGTAATTCTAAATGAAATGCCATGAAACACCCAACACAATGAGGCAGTTAGGAGTCAGGGGATTTTTTTCTTTAAATTTGTCAGAGCACGGATTTTAAAAAAAACAACAAAAATCACCAAAAAAACACAAACCCACCAAAAAAGTTTTAAGTATTAACATAATTTGACTAGTATGGAAAGTTACTATTTAGTCAAATATTGTTTTTAAGTGCTTGAAAGGTGAAAATTTCAATTTTAACTAAAATTAAGAGTTAAGCTTTTCTTCTTCCAAAGAATTTATGGACATAATTTGATTAGTCCTTAATAATTCTAGGACGCAGGTTATAAAATACAAAACATTTACCCTCTTTTAGAAACTGAGGAAATTAGCTCACAATAGTTTGCCCAAATTCACAAGTTAAAAATAAATGGCAGCCTGGGTTTAAAATTTAGGGACTGGACTAGATCGCCTCCACTAAACAAACAGATTAATCTTTAACAGAAGAACAAATCAGAAAGAACTGGCTTTGTAGAACCACAAACACTAAATGCCAACTCTCTGAATATTGTTTTAAAATAAGCAAAAGAAATTATGTGAAGATGTGTTTTACCTCAGAAAGCACTCTAATCCTTTCAGTTACTCCTCCACTCCCCTCCTGGTACTTCTCTTTAGCCTGGAAAGAAACATGGTTTTTGCTGTAATGTCAAAGCTGAAAAGATGTATGCAGATAGCTCAGAGAGAACGTCAAAACTTGCTCTCACGTGTCCCGATTCCAGAAACACTCCCACAAAGTCACAATTACATTTACAGCACTACTCCTAGGAGGACAGGCTTGAAACATCAGCCCCTGTAATGACTATCATTCAAAAATGTAAAGCAGTTTTAAAAATTGCTTTAAGCTCTAATACATACACCATAAAAAGTATGTTTTCTAATTATTTACACGAGGAAAAAAACAAAGAAAATTTGCCAGAACGCATACAGAATTGAATCCTGAAACCTATTTCTTCATCAACAGTAAATTACTATCTTGCAGTTTCTTAAAGATTAATAGCAAACAGAAAGCACAGAGGTCAAATCCTGTTCGTCTTATTTTAATGTCATGCCCACAAATAGGAGGGGTAGCCAAATGGCAGCTTCTACAGGCCTACTAACTAGGGGATCAAAAAGCTTCTCAAACAGCATTTTATTTGCATAAAACCTAAACAAAATAAATAATTAGAGGGCTTCGTGCACGAGTTAGTCTTATATTAATCAATATAAGAGGTGAGTGCTGGACTGAGACTGTAGCTTTTCCACTCATCACAGATGTGTGAACTTCACAGGGAAAGCAGAACTAGCAATTTACTGGCTGCTCAAGATTGGCAACAGATTCACATAATAGTCAGGCAAAAAAAACATTTACTTTCCCCTGTAGAATAGTTAAATAAAAATAGCTAGTTTAGCTTAAAAACTATGCAATTTGACAGCCAATCAACATTTCCTCCACCTCATCCAACAGCAGAATTCACAGATAACTCCTCCGAGTCTTCTTTGCTTTCATGCTCCCTTAATTGCAAGTTAATATTAGAGAAGGCAACAGCAAAAGATCAGTGCACTACCTCACTCAGCAAGGCTTGTGCTGAACGGTACTCTTGAACCAAGTGCTCCAACTGATTGTTGATGTACTTTTCCCTGCTATTGATCTTTTCCAATGTCCTGCTGATTTCATTATGGAGTTTGTCAAGGTAACCCTAGAAAAAACATATTCTGTGGGTTGACAGTATACAGGGAGTATGCAAAGAGTATTAAAATAGTGCTGTAATTAAGAAAGGATACGGAAGTCCACAAGTAAGAGAGAAAAATAGTACAGAAATGCTGTGTTTGGCCAACAAAATATTATTCCTAATGTGTCCTGGTTTGCCCACCTCCAAAACACATATTTCAAACTTTATAGTTTGTGCTATAAAGTGCTTCTATCCCTCTGCCCTCCTAAATTAATTACAAATCTCAATGTCTGCAAGTTATTCTAGCAACAGTATTTAATGGTATTTTGGTTTTCAGATTGTATTATTGTATTATTCTATTTTTCCCTCTGTAGTCAGGCTGTATTTATGGTAATATATACGTTCATGAACCCTAATATCCCTGCTAATTCTCACATATACACCTCTTTCCCACAAGATATTTCGCTAGTCCCACTGTCTCTAATCACTATTATTGTATATTTCCCTTTTTAGTTTTACAGCATTAGCATAAATAAAATTAAAGGGAAAAAAAAACCCACTTGATTCTTAACATATATCAAATAAAAGAGAAAATAAAAATGCTGACAGATCAGTGAAATATTCTGTATATACAAGACATACCCTAGTTTCTTTCAAAGAAGATTCAATTCCATCCTTATGTTGATGCATTTGATCTACATGAATCCTCCAATCCTAAAAAAGATGCCACAAAGTAAAACATAGGTTACTACAGCTTTTATCTTTCTCTGGTTACTTGCTGGTATGCAAGACAGGGTCAGTTCTCTTTTATACTATTATCATGTATCATTCTGCCACTGTCATGTTTGTATCCAGAGGCACTTGCTTAATGTGACACAATTTGTAACTCCTAAATGTCACATGTGACACCCAGATCCATAAAAAACCACTGACCTCCTCACTGATACCACAGTAGCTATGCTTTTTAGAGTCTGCTTGATGTTCATGGAACTATTTCTGCTAGAAACCACTCTGGGCACAAATACTGAAAATATTGATTATAGCTGCACTAGCTCAGCTTATGCTTGAACAAAATGAGTGCTTCAAATGCCCAACACCTACCAGTTCCAGATTATCAGATCTTCCCTTTCTACTTAGTCCTTACCATTATCAGGAAAGGAACGGAAAGAAATGAAAGAGGCAGAAATGCCTAAACTTGTTTTTGATAGTGGGACAAAAGTAGAAGGGGGAAACATTATTGGCAGCTTCTAGGTCATAGGAAACATACACGGACTCAGGATGGGACAAGGTGCTGTTTTAACTCGATAGGTAGGCATCTTGTACTTAGAAATCAATTCCAGTTCCCCAGCTTTATCACAAATTTTTCTTTATCAATGCAAACGTCTTGCATCTCCCAGACCCAAAGCACAGCTGCAGACAGTGAGTTCAAAATGAAGCAGAGTAGCAGCACTGCATAATTATTGCTATTTCAGTACTGTGTTTTTGAGCCTGCTAAAAAATATTTTGAAGTAGTGGAGGCAGTAACAAGGAACAGACCTGGCCAGTTACACTAATGGATAAGAGCATGTGGAGTGTGAGAATGTTCACATATCAGAATTATCTAATGGAGGACCTTGTCAAAATAGGATGATAAGGAAAAGGGGGAAGGAAATCCCAAAATCTACCAAGACACAGACCTGTCAGGCAAACACTAACAGAGACAAGGACAAGAAACAAAGCTCTGCATCTGAACCTGCAAACAAGCAGCAGCAGCTGCATCCATCATTCTGGGATGGGGACCTGCAGGTCCACAGGCACATGGGGCTGGGCTGCAGCACCTGAGCACGAGGAATTCCCAATCCTAGAGCTCCTGGAGGATACAGTCACTTATAATGTCTCGTAACAGGTACAGACCAAATTCTGGCTTAAAAGAGCTGCACACTTAAACATGTGCCATCCTTTAATCACAGGCAGTGCCACTGATTTCAGCTGAGGCTATCCCCCTGCATAGGACATGCACAGAACTACCAATGGACTGGTGCTTCTGTCCCACTACCTTGGAAGGGCACAGCCAAGTATCTGCAAGAGCTGCTCAGCCCACCAGGTTCACCCGCTGTCTACAATTCTGCTGCTGCCCACTATTCCTTTCCAGAACAAAACAAAGGCTAGTAGAGAAAACATGCTTACATTGTATGTTGGACTTTATGTTTGCAGCAGACTCAAGGTTGGTCTGGTGACAAGTGTTCCCAATTTGTTAAACTTTGGACTTTAAATAAAAAGACTCCCCACCCCTGCCCAGGATTTTACAAATAACTTCTAGTTTCTCATGGCACTGACCCTCTCCTGGTACTATGTATACATGTACTGCATAGGAAACAGAATACCACACTTTTCTTGTAGAATGAAAAAACACCAAATGCTTCTCTCCAGTTATTTAAGAAACCGTGATAGCACAGAAGCTAGAAGAAGAAGAATCCTCTTTTCACGTTCATTTTGACACATTCCTTAAAGTCAAGAAAGCATTAAACTGGAAGGTAGTAAACCCCAGTTCTTACAGTGGCTTTAATTTTCCACATATATCTTTATTAAGTTTTAATTTCATAGTGTGAGAATCAAGCGTCGTATTCTCTGTAACAGATGGGCTTGCCAAGGATCAGAGAAAGGTGGCTCAAACCAGGCAATTCCTCACGTAGAAGAATGCAGTATAGCGTAAGACAGGCAAGCAATTTAACAGATAGTTGAGAGCTTATGCTATTTTTGGCAGGATAATTATCTTTCATTGAATTCTGTATCAGTGCTACAGATTGCTCCAACACCCCAACTAGCTGGGTCACAACAAATGAGCAATTTCAATACTGCACTGATCTGTGTGTGCTATACAAGATCCTAGAGAGGATGTTTATGGCAACGCCAAGAATAGGTCCTAGGTTTGGACTTTTATTTGCCAAAGATAGACCTCCGTGTCTAAGCTGCTCATTCTAGACTCATTGAAATAGATTATGGTGAAAAATACTAATGTCTAAGAAATGATGAATTTCATCTCAAGGTAGTTATCTGGATAGGTAAATAAAATCAGTCATAAAAGTATTCGCTTCATTTTGGTAAACATAAGGAGAGCCAGTGATGACTAGATCAGAGGTACAGACATACTTTATTGCCATTTAAAGTTCAGCAAGATGAATTCCATGCAAACAACCTTTCATGTGGTCGACAAATGGAACAGTTGAAAGATTAGAAGTTCCAGGAAGATGTTTTACTAGCTGCTAAACTGAGGGTATAATTTTTCAGAACTATGAATACATTGGAAACATTTAATGATTTAAGATGTTCTTAAGATGTCTGAGTAAATATATAGAAATAAATATATGGAAATAGGGTGCCTTGTAAGTAGCAGAAAAAAAATATTATTATATAATATTGGGAAAAAAGTACTGAAAATTATTGCTCCTAGAGTCACAGTAAGTGACAAAGATTCATACAAGATAGTATTGGAGAGCCCATTATTCACAAATCTTGACATGAAAAAAAGAAAAAAAAAAGTTGTAAATTGAAAGTAAACAACACTGAAATGACACTTTAATCACCATGTGTACACATGCAAAGCCATTCTCACATACCTTATTGTCAGTCCTGACCATAACCTTCAGCTGTGGAAGCACACGTTCCACTTCCAGATTCCACTCTGCTGCATCTATCGTGGACTGTAAAATTTGTTCTTGCTTTGCAGCGTCATTCATGTCCTGTGTAAAAATCACAAAGTTTGTATATGAAATATCATCATTATGCACAGTGAGAACTGTTAGAAATCATGTTACAATGGTTTACAAGGTTCATTGTCAGGAAAAAACTTCTATCCAGAATGATTTAGACTACAGATATAGCAGATTTCTTTAATGACTTTAATTCTTTGAATTCATAAAGACTGGGAATTAAAAAAAAAATATATATATCTACTCATCATACTTAGAATTGAAAAGAACAAAATGTGTTTAATAAGAAATTATAATACATTCCAGAAATAGCAAGGGGGACAAAATTAAAATACATTCAAGAAACTAATACTATGCTTCCCTAAAAATCTCTGCAAAACTTTCTTGCAAATGTTTCCAGCAACCTTGCAGTGATAAGCAACCTTGCTTTTTCTTTTAAAATAAGCCGATTCATTTCTGGGTCAAAACTAGGAGGGGTCATTGACACACTGGAGGGCTCTGCTGCCATACAGCGAGACCTGGACAGGCTGGGGAGTTGGGCAGAGAGGAACCTGAGGTACTTCAATAAAGGCAAGTGTAGGGTGCTGCACCTGGGGAGAAATAACCCCCTGCACCAGTACAGGTTGGGGGCTGACCTGCTGGAGAGCACCTCTGAGGAGAAAGACCTAGGAGTCCTGGTGGACAACTGGATGACCATGAGCTGACAATGTACCCTTGTGGCCAAGAAGGCCAAAAGCATCTTGAGATGCATCAGGAAGAGTGTGATCAGCAGGTCGAGGGAGGTTATCCTGCCCCTCCACTCTGCAACTGGTGAGGCCCCATCTGGAGTGCTGTGTCCAGTTCTGGGCTCCCCAGTTGAAGGAGGACAGGGAACTGCTGGAGAGAGTACAGCAGAGGAGCACAAAGATGATTAGGGGCCTGGAGCATCTCCCTTACGATGAGAGGCTGAGGGACTTGGGTCTTTTTAGTCTGGAGAAGAGAAGACTGAGGGGGGATCTGATCAATGCTTATAAATATTTAAAGGGTGAATGTCAAGAGGATGGGGCCGGTCTTTTTTCAGTGGTGTCCAGTGACAGGACAAGAGGAAATGGGCACAAACTTGAATATAAGAAGTTCCACTTAAACACGAGGAGGAACTTCTTTACTTTGAGGGTGGCAGAGCACTGGAATAGGCTGCCCAGGGGGATGGTGGAGTCCCCTTCTCTGGAGACATTCAAAACCGCCTGGACAAGTTCCTGTGCAACCTGCTCTAGGGACCTGCTTTGGCAGAGGGGTTGAACTAGATGATCTTCAGAGGTCCCTTCCAACCCCATGTGATTCTGTGATTTCAGTTGGAACATTTTTTCAAGTTTAGACTATAAAAAGACTTTCACACTTAAATCCAACAGAAATAAATGGCTGCTACAGATGTAAAAATCTCTCAAGAGAGGACTGATGTGTAACAACTTACCGATCTGTATGTCTGTGCCTTTAGAATGTTCAGGTCAATAAAATTTTCTTCATTGTCCGACTCTTCTTCCTTAAGGAAAGTTGCAAAGTAGGACTTCAATAAATATTGCACAATCTTTCTCCATAATTCTATTTTGCAGGAGCACAGGCCAAGGCCTATTAAATTTGAAATTTCTGACATGGAAAGTTTATGATAATGGAGCTTGCATTTAATTAAAAAAAATCTTATGAGGAGACACAATATCTGGGACAAGCTGAAAGATGAAATCTCCCCCACATTTTCCTCAGGGTGCCACAGTATTAAAAAACTAAACCAACCAACGCAAAAAAACCCCAAAACTTAAGCCCTCTTGCATCAAATGGGCCATTATCAATAGCTGTACGGTAACTGTAATTTCTTATGTGTTTCCTAAAGCTTTGCATTAAAAATAAAACCAGAACAACAAACAAACCACAACCAGACCTGTACACAGTTTTCAAGTTGTTCTCTGCACTACAGATTTGGAGCTGCAGAATGATGCCACATTTTAAAAGCGTGCAGAAAAATAGAATTCAATTGAAGCAATTGATTTGTTTTCTTGCCCGTGACACTACGCACCAGGCTGGCAGTTTTAGAGAATTACCTATTATAGTCTCAAAATTGCACTTCTCAGTTATCATGCTCAGCTTAGAGCCCATCACTGCATAGGTCAAAGACACTTTTGCCATATGTTACCCTCCATTTATCTACGCTAAATTTCACTTGCCATTTTATCACCCATACACTTCATCCTTATACACATTGTCATTCTGTCACTTTTCTGTTAGCCATCATCTTTTCTACCAAAGTAAGATTTCATCGTTCACCTCCTTTCTAGACAAATCACGAATGCTGCAATAACATGGGTCTTAGTGTAGAACCCTTCAAGATTCAGTGAAAACCTCAGAGCTTAGTCCTCTACCTTACCTAGTTTTTAACTAATAGGGTCCACTTTATTTTATTCTGGCATGTTTGGCCCCTAGTCCCCTGAATGCTTGCAAAAAATTAATGGTGGCTATAGCGGGACTGTCTTTTGCTAAATGGACAACATGTATTTGTACAGCACTTAAAAGAACATACTACAACACTACCATGACAACAACATGCCTAGTTATCAGAACTGAGGAACCAAATTGTGCAGAATTCCTTGCACAGCCAGCCTTGCTGACTTCATCTAATTCCCCAAGATTGACAGAACTTGGCTTGTTTCTGTCTGCCTCATCAATTTTATTCAGAAGAATCAAAACCAGAAGAACGATCAATGAACCTCATCATTAGCATTTAACTACTGGAAATACTGCTAAATTCAATTATGGATACAGCTAATGCATACAAGACATTGGCAGCAACAATGGACAGGGGAAAAAAAAACAAACCAACAACAAAACATCAGCATATAGTTAATCCCTGTAGAACCATTAGGGGCTCTAAACAGTGGTTATCCACTTGGTATAATCCTAGCTCAATGGGTTTATTAACACACAAACTCAGAAGAGCTAATAAAACATGTTAGTTGTGAAAATCATGGCCTCAGATACTACCTGAGAGAAAATCCAGAGGTTCTTTGAAGGGTTTCAACTGTGCTTTAGTTAAATGTTTCCTCCCCACTTCCCAATTTACCAGCTTAGACCTTAACGAGACACAGAAAAGAGCAGACAGCAGACTGTTTCCATATTTAAAGCTTTTAGCCAACAGGCTTACATTTCTGAGGCTGGTCAAACATGCAATACAGAACGTCTCTTATTGTTCTCAGAATTATTCAAGGCTTTTTTTGTGGAGACTTCAAAGCTGGTAAAAATGCAACCAAGGCATCCACATGACAATATCTGCATATTGTATGAAACTTGAGAATAAAAGTCTGGAATTTTTCTTGGCTAATAAAAATGAGAAAAATAATGCAATACTTAGAAAAACTGTAAGAGGTCGAAGAGAAACAAATTCTTCAACGATTACACTCTTATGGACTATTATGGATATAAATTGGGAGTATGATCAGAACCATATGACAACTTTACTGGCACTCTATTTCAAACTTTTATGACCTTTAATTTTTTCCAAGCACTTGAAAAATGAGAAAACTAAAATGGGACAGTTGTGGCATTTTCTATCCAGTACTGCTGGGCTTTAACACTCCAGAAAATTGTTTTGTCCTCAAGTAACTTACTGACCCAGCACCTGAATGCTTCCAGGCTCACAGCTTTCAATATTTTGGGTTTGATCTGCATTTATTTTGCACAGAATCATCAGTTTTGGAGAAATCAGATGTGAAACTAACTTCTTTTGTAATTTTCACTTTGTCTTTATCTAACTTCCGTATGGAGAAAAATCTTAAGTCAGCAGTAAAAAGACTCACTTGAACAGACTGACAGAGGCCTGTGAAAATGACAATGTCTTATGATAACATTACGCTATTAGATAAGTGAGACTCCAACTCTCATAAAAATCATCTTCTGATAAAGTCAATCAGCAAGAAACAACTTTTGTTCAACATCCATCCATCAGTAAGTCCTAAAAGCATATTTGAACTTACGAGTGTATTTCATAGGCTGTTTTCAAAGACATAACACCTTCACCATAATTATTACAGTTAAAAAGCACGATAAATAAATCAGTTTATCCTCAAACATTGCCATCTTGTTGGTAAAATGTATTTTACAGCAGAAAGACTTCTGCTCTCAGAATGGATGACTAGGTATTACCATTTCATTTGTGGAATATATAGCAACGAGCTGCCATGACCTTCCTCTACAGAAACAATTCTGCAACCTTTATTTAGGTCTTTGCTGGCGTTTTTAAACAAATGCTTGGTTTCCAGTTGTTCTTTTCCATATACTCTGTTCCCAAATCTTAAGGTCAACTAAGTACCAAAGTTGCTGTTTCCAATTTACAGTGAAATCCTAGTTACAATAGTGAGCCCTCTATCAATTAAGCACTGGGCAAATTTTAACCAAATATTAGCCAATTCCATACACAGGGATTGAAGTTCCATTTAAAATCAACAGTTTATATTAGCAGAAAACAAACAATTCTGAATCTATGCAATTTTAATGTACGGTTAAATTCCACTTCACTTTACATTAACTACAAATGCACATAAGAACATAAGTTCTGTTGCAAAGAATTAACAACCTTATCTGAAAGAAGACAAAAAACTCCACAGAGAAGCTGACGATGCAGGAAGCAGATGCAGTAAAAAAGGGCAATGGAACAGCTAGCGGAAAAGACTTCTTAAACAAAGCCAAACAAAATGAACAGTGAGAAAAATTTCCTCATAGCTGACCAATACTTATATAATTAAAACCAGTTAGGTAAATCTACCTCAACATCCTCTTCTAGTTTATTAAGCGTCAGTTCTGCATCATCTTCTGTTACTTCTTCTTCTTCTAGCTCTTCTGTTGGATATGCTGGCCTGAAATTAGCACAAACAACAGCAGAGTTTTTAAACACAGTAACTTGAAAATACATCTGTAAATTGTTCCTAAGCGAATGAAACAGTTCACAAGAAGTATAGATGAAGTGGAATATGACTAGACAGTGTCTCACACACTTAAATAAATAAAAGTAACACTCAGCCTTAAAAGTCTGTTAAAGTCTGTCTTAGAAGTGAGCGTTAGTTATTATGCCAACCAGTACATTACATTCATACTGCAAAGACATCTGGGGAATAAATTTTGAGTCATTTTCTGTTTTGGTCTACCCTCTTAAAATTTAAGTGCAAGTCACAACAGACTCATTTTCAGCTTACAGTGGAATTTGTGTACTAAATAGAAGTAACGGTGAAATAGTTCCAAGGTAGGAATTACTTCACTATACCCATTTCAAAACCCACCAGAGGAAAGGAATGAAATAAAGAGCACTTTTAAACAAATTTTCATATTCTTGAAATTATCTGTCATCTAATTCCTCCAAAAATTTCCTTTGGATTAAATAGTTACTGTAGCCTACTTGTAACATTCTCACATACTATGCACACCTCCAACTGAAGAGGTCAAGATTAATTGATAGGACCTAAAAGAATATTAGTATGTTTCAACTCACCTGTCAGATTAACAAGCAGTTATGCATAGGAAAACGACCAAAAAAAGGTCATCAGTCAAATCTTTACGAATTAGCTAAGTCTATTAATGGCCCAAACTCATCCTTGCTGGTAACAGACTAAATTGCGTGAAATTGCATTAGGCATTAATTTGTCCCACTGCTTCAAGCCTAGTTGAATTTTGCATCTCATGAAACATCAAGTAAAACATTTTTGGTAATTACTATGTTTTATCTGTACAAGTACAACTTAAATTTGTTTGCTGGAAAACAAAGCATAAGGGAGGACACCTAAAGTGTACTATACCTTTTCCAGCTAAAGCCAGTGTATTTCAAGGCTTCTTCAGCTAAACAATCAAGAACATAGCATGCTTGCTCTCCATAGCCTGCCTTTAATTTTGAGGGAGGAAAATCCACAGGCCTTCCCTAAAATAAAGAGATACACTGTTTATTAACGGCTACCCATCAATCACGTTTCCTCTCAAAGAGGTAACAAGATTTGCTACTCTAAAACCAAAGTGCCTATTCTGTATGAAGATTTAACCAATGTTAATTCTTATTCTTCCCCTGTGCAGCTCCAGTCAGGCAACAGAAGGGAAAACAGAACAACCCAAGGAACAGATGCAGTGTAGAAATCTTAAAGCACCTGGTAATAGGATGCTCACAGGGAGCAGAAGAGTCGGAAGCTGCAAGGGAGCTAGATGGTCAAGCATACAAGTGACACACTGGCAAGGCAAGAACAGCTATGAAGGAACTCAGGTACCGACACCTAACCACCAGCTTTTCAACATTGCCTTGTTTGTACCGGATTTTATTTATAAAATATTTTACTTTTATTTATTGCTGTCCTACAGAATAAATATCTTAGTTTTTTTATCAAGTAACTCTTTCAGAGATCAGTGTTCTTAATATCATACACAGCTGTACCACAGCATGATCCTCTGTAAGTATGATCTTCCATAAGATCATATCTCCCATAAGTTGATACATTCTCCTGACCTTCAGAGGGGTGGGGTGTTAATATTGAAAAAAAATCCCAGTAATTCCTGGCAGTTTATGCAACCTTTTACTCCTTAAAAAAAAAAAGAGAGAGAAAACACGAACACAATTCTAAACCATTTCCTTCACTGTGGATTATACCATTGACTTTGGCAGGAGCAGGATCACAAGCACTGTGTAAACTTTCAAGATAAAATCTTTGTAAATTCATAGAATCATAGAATGGTTTAGGTTGGAAGGGACCTTCAAGTTCATCTTGTTCCAACCCTCCCACTAGACCAGGTTGCTCAAAGCCCCGTCCAGCCTGGTCTTGAACACTTCCAGGCATGGGGCCTCAACAACTTCTCTGGGCAACCTGTTCCAGTGTCTCACCATCCTTATAGTGAAAATTTCTTCCTGATATCTAATCTAAATCTACCCTCTTCCAGTTTGAAGCCATTACCCCTCATCCTATCACTATGTGCTCTTGTAAGAAGTCCCTCTCCAGCTTTCTGAGAAGCCCCCTTTAGTTACTGGAAGGCTGCTATAAGGTCTTCCTGGAGTCTTCCCTTCTCCAAGCTGAAAAACCCCAACTCCCTCAGCGTGTCAAAAAATTATACTACTATAATTGAGCAACATATGCAGCACTATAAGAAGTAAGCCTCATTTAATCCATTTTACAGATTGTGGAACAGACTTAATTGGAATCACATATAATATTGGAAGACCATTTTCGTAGTGCCAGAAAGTTAGCTAGTAGGTACACACAGTATAAACTTCCAATTAACTAATTAACATAGTACTAACTTATAGATAGGACAAGTCTGCCCAGTCCTTGGGAACATAATCAGGCAGCAGAGAAAGTACGTCATTACTGTTATTTCTGAAGGTGAGGCATGTGCTTGAAATACACGTGGGAAAACAGCACGTTCAACACTTACAAACGATCGCAGTTCTGAGAGCACATTTGAGATTATTGCGTTGGGGTCGTCATATTCTTGTGGCTGTTCGAAGGGGTGTCCCGCCTTAGTGATCAGCCAAGCAGCAAGCGTGCAAAACATAAAGAACTGCTCACCGGGATTAGTGGGCAGTGCGAAGTAGTGCCTGTTTAAAAAGGGGAAAAAATGGTAAATATTTTGAGCTCCTAAAGCTCTTACTGCATTATAGGCCAGCATAGGCTAGAAAGCAGTTTCCTAAACTGACTTGCTCCATGAGTGATCCATCTCAACTAAATTCAGGATGTCTAGTTTCACACATAACCACAAGTTTTCTACATGCAGCTCACCTGTTTCCCTGTTTGAGTAAATTATTAATCAACTCTGGGCTTCAAAGGAATCAAATGGGAATTGGGTATTCCTCCCTCCTGGCAGCAGGATTATACAGTTTCAGTTAAATATCACCAAATTAATGTTTCCACATAAATCCAAGTTACTTCCCTTATTTACCTGAGCAGTCTCAAACCATGATGAGCTCAATTCTGTTCCAAATTAATTTTAGGGATGGAGAATCCATCCCATGACTTCATAAAATACCACCGCTAACTAATTAGGAGCCATTGCAACACATTCGTTCCAATGCCCCTTGCATAACATCAAATACTTAAAAGCTCAAAAGAATGAAAAGTCAAAGATCAGAAATTACCAATAACTTGCAGGCCAGGAATGAGCTCAGATTTTGCTAAATCTCAGGCATTTTTCACAGGACAAGTGATTTACAGTGCAAGACAAAATTTAAATTTGAAATCCATCCTCTGAATTGGTTAGTAAGTGTGATTGATAACTACCGTCAACATGACAACGCAAACAGTCTACTTCAAAAACAAAATGAAAATGATCTGTTGCTAAAGTTTTATACCTTTACCTATGACACAGGAAGCCAGGGTGGATTTGTCTCATCTTTCACCTCCTTTAGAACACATTGAAAAATGCTTAAGAAGCACAGATTGCTCTCCATTAAAGACAAACAGCACAAAGACAAACAGCACAAAGAAAGGTCTCTGTATTCAGCTATATAATTATACCGCTTTAAAAATAACTAACTAAATTTACTTTGCTTCAAACAACTGCATGAAAGCTTGAATGGCACTTCCCAGAGGAAGGGAGAACAAATTTACTAAAGCTTCCTTGCATACAGCATATTGTCCTCATCCATGCTATTATACTACAGAAACCTCACCTTCTGTTTCCTTCTTAACGTCCCCAAATATTCTTCCTGACAACAGCAATACATACAGTTCCTTTTGCTCCAAAGTTCCCCAAACCTCTTCCCTTTCCCCTATTCCTCAAGAGTGGCCAAAAGGCTGGTGTAGCTAAATCAGTGCGTAAGCTCAGATTGGGAGCATGTTTTTGGAGCCATCCTTCCAGCCATCCTCACCTACTGCGCTTTGGGTCACTTTAGAAAGCAAGGTACTGAATTGAAAGATGTGGTCCTAAGAGAATTTGGTCCATAAAATCAGACCACAGCAAGTCCCCAGCAAAATATAAACCATGTGCACACTGGATACTCAAAACCAAGCACTTCCCCTTAGACACACATGCTCGCTAATGGGGACAAAGGTTTACCCCCTTGCTCCAAATACTGATGGTCAGGCAGCTGGCTAAAACCAGCTTATAGCCACTGAGCTCATACTCAAGCCTCCCTCCTGATAAGAGAATAATATGAATAAGAGAATAACTATGTTTTTCCCTCCCTGTGAAATTATTGCTTATAGAAAGCTCAACTGTGTGATATACTGCTATGGAGCCTGGTTGAAACTGATGGATGGATTTAAAAGTTATTTGGGAAGGTGAATGTTGGGAGCACATTGGTCCCATTTCCCAAGTTTCCTGTCTCCTATTGAAATTAAAAAAAAAAGTTACACATGAAACAAACATGTATTAGATATAAAAAACTAGACTTAAAAACAATAGGTCTAAGCCCCCCTTACAAATACATTTCCTCCAACAAATAGTTACCCTGAACACCAGAAATTCCTTTAGGGTGGAATTATTTTTTTTCAGAGATACCCTGGCCTGCAGACATTCAAACCCAAGTCATCTACTCGGGGGCAGGGAAGGTCAAGTGAGTGGTGACTTAACACATCTCGGCCTTTAGAGGGACTTCGCATTTTGAAAGCTTCAGAATCACAGGGGAAGCTGACTGTTTTTCACTTGACTCGGGCACCTCGTCCTCCGAGAGGGAACCAACCTTCCTTCCCCGGTCCCTGACCGCAGCGGCCTAACAGCCCCGCCAGGCCTTCTCCCCGCCAGCACTCCGGGTTCGCACCGAGCTCGGCCCGTGTCCGGCGCCTCTCGCTGCACCCGTGGAAGCTGCGGACCCCACGTCTGGAGCTTCGTACCAGGCGGCACGACCCTCCAACCCCAGCCGCCCCCCCCTGCACGGCGGCCAGGCGAACATCTCCCGGGCGAGGCCGCTACCGCCCTCCCCACGCCTTTCCGCGCCCCCCGCCGCCATCCCCCCGGCGGAGCGGGCGAGGGGCACCTGGAGAGAGGCCGCATGTTGTGGCGCCTCAGCGCCTCCTCCTCGTAGCTGAGCAGCTTCAGCTTGTCCAGCAGGTCCTCCATCAGCACGAACATGTGATAGGCCGCGCCCGGGCCCCGCTCCGCCGCCGCCCCCTCCTCGTCCCGCTCCCCTGCTCCGCGCCGAGTCCCACCGCCGCCCCCAGACTCGTCCGCCATCTTGGAGCCCCGCCGCCGCCCGTAACCGAGGCAACCGAGCTCGACCAATCCCCGCCTGCCGCAGCCTGGAGACCCACCTCCTAACCCAATCACACGCCGAGAAGTCGCGCCTGTCGAGCGCGAGCCACCAATGGCGGCGAGGCATGCCGGGTCAACATCCAATCACCGCTCCGTTGGCTTTGTCACTTCCGCTCGGTTACCATGGGGACGGCAGGCCTCCGGGAAGATGGCGCTGTTATTGTCCGGGGAGGCCGGGAGGCGTGACTGATAAACGGTGTGGGGCCTGGCCCGGCCTGCAGCCACCCTTCAACCCGCGGGCGGTGTATTAAAGCTTTGCTGCTCCTCTCTGCCTGACGCCTGGCTCAACCTTGGGCTTGCGTGTGCAAGCAAGTTAAAAGTTTACACGATTTAATACTGACCTGTGAATGCTGGCCCCAAACTGGTGGGATCGTTTGCCTGGTGTGCAAGCCAATAACACGCAGAGTCGAGGTGTTAGCTATTTATTAGCAGTTCCGTGCAGAAAAGGGTGCTAGGGGGTATCTCCGCAAGGCTACCATACCCAGAACTGTAACAGTCATTAATTTATACATTGTAAATTAGCATGATTAAAATAGGCATTGCTTATCAACCTTTTACTGCTTATCAACCTTAACTTTTAACTGACTTGTAAAATGTCCTCGCTTCAATTAAAGGTACAGCAGCTCTTAATTTTACTGCGCAGGCTCAGTGAGTGAGGGTTTTCAAGTGGAAGCAGGAATCCTGACCCCTAGGTGAATGGTTTTCAGGTTATAATTAGTCAAGTTCACCTAAAGGGCGAACCTTTACCATTTCATGTGGTATAGCCAAGTTTGGGCAATCAGCCCACTAAAGTTTCTGGTACCTGTTTTTTGGTCCAGTTGTTCCTTCTATCCCATTGTATTGTCAAGAATGATTTACAGAGTTAGAATCATAGAGGTTTAGATATCATGAACACGTTAAGCCATGTAGGCTGAGAGAAGGCAGCAGCTATACCTACCACTAGCTGATAGTGTTACCTGAAACAAAAGCTCTCAAAACCAGAAGCAGTTTAGAGAGGAGATACTGCTTTATTTGATGTCGAGTGCTAGGCGGAAATCCACAAATCTAGCACACCCTACCAGGGACATTCACCCATGGTATTTATACACAAAAAATTCTCATTATTCTGCCTATCTAATACATAACTCCACCTAGTCTTACATATTCATTAGAATGACTGAATAGGCTTTTTGCACATGTGTATTCAATTTTACAGTTTCTGCAAAACACTTCTGCACTGGTGTGAGCTCCTCGGTGTCATTTGGTTAAGGATACCCTTCCCCACGTTATCCTTTTAAGGTATTGAGTCATCTCAGGGCAGTAAAAATTTACTGTGAGTTTGCCAGCTTCTTGAGGATGATAAGGATGTTCCTTGAAATAGCCACAGCTCTGTCCTAAACAGCGTAGGAGTGCATATTTTGACATATGAGAGGACCTTGAAGTGATTAACTACTTCTTGTTATCCCATCCTGTCGTGGTTTCAGCCGAAATCACCGCAACCGAACCAACAGATGGCCCTTCCCCCCCCCCAAAAGAGGAGAGGAAGAGATAAGGAGATTGAAAAGTTTAGAATTAACTAAACTACTTTAATCAAAAATAATATTAAAATAAAAGAGAAGAAAATAATGAAATAGATACAACATATATACAAAACCGTATCAAGCTCCCAGGATGACAGTCCCGTCACCAGCAGGCACTGGGGAAGTCCCAGACTGGACTCGGTGATGGACAGGAGCAGGATTCCAGCTCTGGAGTCAGGAACACATGGGGATCAGAGGCAGATGAACAGACAGGGTCCTCTTCGGACGTCGGCCATTGCAGGAAGAGACTTGACCCTTTGATCCCTCAGCTTTTATACTGAGCATGGGGCAGATGGGATGGAATACCCCTGTTGGTCAGGTTTGGGTCACCTGTCTTGTCCGTTCCTCCCCACAGATGTGACCCCTCTACGTTTTTCCGTTTCCGACCCTCTAAGGGGCAAATAATGAAAATTGGCTGACCTTGGTTGTTATAGCAATAAGTATAAGCAAGGGCCTCTCTACATACCATTCCCTGGCATGGAGCACAAACATTGGTCTTATCACTCTGAGAAGGAACAGTTTTCTCCACAATATGCCGTTAATTTCAGAGAGTTAGAAAAGGCCTAACTAAAATGCAAAGTTACAGAACACAAAATTGATCCGGTTTTACCTCAAACCGGGACACATCCGTATCACTATCAGCTCAGCGACCAACTATTTTTTCCCATAGTAAGAAGCTCAGCAATTAACTCATTTTAGTTAGCATATGCTTATAAACAAAGCAGAGGACTGTCTTTGGTAACAATAGCAGAGCTCATGGCTTGAGGTGCAGTAGCTTACAGCTGGATGTATGGAAATATAAGTCTTGTGAGCAGTGGAGTTGTAGCTGGACATTAGTTGCAATGGCCAGCTGGAACTGCTGCAGGGTGGTGGGGAACAGACCGTGTGGGAAAGCTGGTTCTCCCAGGAAAGCAGGAGGCACAATTCATGTGTGTACTGCTAACACCGCCTGGATCTTCTAGGACAGCCACTGTTTCCTTTCACCTCTTCCTGCATTTTGTTTGTTTTTTTCTAAGCTTTCTTCCCTAAAATACTTGAGTTATTCTGTCAGTTTCTCCTGCTGGATAGCACATACATGCCTAGAATTCCTTACTGAAAACTAAGCACTAGTGAAACACTGTTAAAGAGAAAATAGATTACCTAAGCCTGAAGATAGCCCAAGGCTTCCACTAGTCTTGTTTCAGATCAGCAGCTTTCTGAGAAGAGTGTCATGATAATTCGTATCTTAAATTATTTTTTTCCTGTACCTGTACAGCATTTACCTTGCTCCTCGCGTCAGGTTCCTGCACTCTTGCCTTAGTAAGAGAATTGCCTGTCTCCACAGTGGCTGTGGTGCTTGTGCTCTTGTAATGCCCAAGCACAATCCAAACCAGCATCGCTGCTGCTGTAAAAATCACATTTCTGACAAGAACTGATTTCTTCTGTTCCTCTGTTACAGTTTGCAGGAGTTAGCAATAAAAAGTTTGTTCAACAAAGCCAGGCAAAATAAACGGTTAAGAGAAAAGGCTTTTTAAGCCCAAAGAGAGAGGAGAATACAAAAGGTGTGGAAGCTTCACTTGTATAGAAGTGTGGTTCACGCGATAGAAACAATCCCTTTCATTTGTGGGACAGGAATGAACTTGCTGGTTGAGTTCTGTAGGTGTGGCTTAGTGAAAGCAGGAGGCAAGAAGCAAAGTTCCATTGCTTCGGCAGAGCTGCATATTTGGTTTTTTTTGTAAATATATATAAACCCTGACTGCAAGAAGCACCTGAAAGAAGACGACTGAATTTTTTGGCTACTTGTGAAGTCAGAACAGGTGAAAAAACCCCCGACATTCTTGTAACTACTCTGTGGTGTTAAAAATGTATGGGGTAGATGCGGGGGCGAGGGGGTGGGGGGGTGGGTATGTTTTATGTGTATATTGAGGTAAAACGCAGTGGTTTTGGGCTATGTCCTGAGATAATTTTGTATGTTTAGAACGTGGCATCCTTCGTCCTTTTGGGGAAGTATGGAGTTAGCATTTAAGTTGTAGGTGGTTTCACTGGGGGGAGGTGGAGAATTAATTCTCTTTTCTACTACAGAAAACACCTCCTGAAGATTCAGTGGGGAAATTCTGAAAAGCTAGTATCTTTGTGGCTAGTTTGGGATTTTAGCAGTATGTGATTAACATGGGTTTTTTTAGAACTTTACACATTTGGTTTTCTTGTTTGCTTGTTGGTAAAACTTGAAATCCTCAGGCATTTCCAGTCCTTGTAAGTGTGTGTGTCCTTGAAATGTGCTGTTGCTAAGTTACCTTGAAAAGGAATTAATCAGAATCATTTTTACTAAGGAATACATAACTTTTGCTTTACAGTGTGAGAAGAATATTTACAGGGTTAGGAGAATATCACAATACACTGCTCTCAGAATGGTTCACAGAGGAAAGTTCACTGAGCAGAGATCAATCCCGATGCCTGTGTGCGGGGGGAGTGCTCCAATCAGTGTTCAGATTGATTGCAAAGTTCCAAGGTGATTCAGGATGTAGTACATGGGGTTTGGTCGCTGGCTAATAGAAGAAAAAGAAAGCATGTGGCTTTTGATGTTTGTTTAATATAGTGGCCAAAGCAAGTGCAGTGTGTTGTCCCTCCCACTATCTGAGCTGCAGTGCTTGACTTCTCTGTATGTCTTGGAAGATGCATTTTAGTGCTTTGCTTTGCTCTCAGAAACCCTGTCTGAGCTTCTGCTGCCCAACTGAGCCTGTGGTGGTTCTTTATGAAATAAGTGTTCTGCAAACTAGAGCGTCAGTAACTGACATAACTACGGTGATCTTAATTCTAGTTGTGTGCTGTCTGTGTAAATAATTTCGTATTGATATTTCACTACAAAGCCTTAGGGTGTAATTTCTTGGTTGTTCCACTTAGGCCTGTAACAACCAGGAGAAGCATGTTTCTTCAGTACTTTGCAGTGTGATTCTATCACCATACATATACTTTATGCCTTTAAGATCCCAGACCTGCTGAAAAGAAGACTGACCAGAGCCTGCACTCCTCACGTTTTCCTACAGAACATTTTTCTCAACGTGCTACGATGGGATGACCCAAAGCTAAGATTTATGCTGAACAGGAAAATTTTCAGCTAACTAGTTACTAGTTCTGTATTCCAGTACAGAGTACAGCTAGCAGAGGCGAGGCAGCCTGCACTGTCCAGGCTTCACTTGATGCAGCCCCCAAAGGCATTGCAGAGGTAATGTTGGAACCATGTTATTCTCAGAGCGTCACTGCCAAACTGCACAGGCTGTCCATTAAACACGACAGACCACCCGCTAAGGGAAATTTAGCATTGATTGCAGTTTCTGAAATTCAAACATCAAGCACAATATATTGTATTAATCAAGTTGGAAGTGATGGGCAAATGAGCAAAAAAATGCAGTAAAAAATGATGCACACCACTTGCCAGGGCAAGGAGGAAAAAAGGGCAGATACTGCCAATTGCTGCTAACATGGAACAAAAACATATATTGTGTTTGGTTTACTTTTGCATCACCTCTGTCTCAGGTATAATGTTTTGGTGCCCCTCTGTTGTTTTTTTCCCAAATTGAAAAGTGAGAATACATATAATAATCACACCAGCTTTGCAAAATAAAAAACATGCAAAAAATGATTGGGACATAAGATTCGCATCCACCACTAATACAGTCATGCACACCAATCAAAATTATTCACTAGTATTAAAAGCCTGGCTAAACTTGTAGCCTGTGTTTGTTAGGAATGGTACCAATAGCTGTCCTTTGGAGAGAGGAAAAGGACTAGAGGAAGCTCTTTAAACTCTTTTCAAGCTACTTGCTTCATGATGTAATTTCTCCACTGTGGTATGCTGCATTTTAGAGTAGCATGCCTGGGTGGAGGAAGAGTGTGGTCTATGAGTTACAATAAGATTATATTTTTTTTCATTATGCACAAGAGCTTCCAATTCACTGTCATTTAACTGACAAACCAGAAGATATGATGGGAGAACATCCTCCTCCCCCTTTGCATTCCTACGCTAGACTTCCATTCACACATTTTTGGAACATAACCTGATGCCCTTTCGATCTGGTGAAGAAAAGTTCTTTATATCTCTAATAATTGCGAACACAGGCAAATTTCCCACCTCAGAAAGTCAAATGTTGCAGTAATCAGAAATGTATCTTAGGAAATAGAAAAATCTGGCTTGACAAGGGGCATCTTAGACCTTTTGGAAATGGCACTTGACTATTTTTCCTGAGCGTCCTATTCACAAATGGTGAAGATCAATGTTCCCTAGCCCTTTAAGAATACTGAGGGTAAACACTTTCAATTCATTAAAAATAAACAGAAATTATCAATCTATGAAGGATTAGATGTTAATAAGAGGACCTCAACCATTATGAAATGACTTTAACACCAAAAATCTGGGCCGAGACTATTGCAAACAAAATACATGATAATAAAGTCTACAGTCCTTAATAAGCTATACAAAGGAGTAGAGTAAGTCTCTTACTGCATTTAAACAGGTTTTTTCTCCTCCTTTTATGTTGTCAGTTTGACATAAGTCTACTAAGAACCAAAGAAGACATGAAGAGACATCTCATCTATTTACTTTACATAGGTGCTACACTTTGGGGTAGGTTTTAGCTCCATTGTTTATTTAAAATGATAACGAAGACAATTATTAATATTTTTTTAATAGGGGGGAAATAAATAATTCAAACATTGCTTATTAATGGTGAGAATTGATTTGGGACAAGTAAGAGACTCCTGAAGCAAAAGGTGACTGGAAGAGGGCTGCATGGGTGGCCATGGCCATTAAGTACATTGAGCACATAAGCTGTTACCTTCCAAATTTTCAGCTCTGCAGCTCGGCTGGTGGAGCGCGTCGTGTGACTGCTCAGCAGGCATTAGCTGTCAGTTTGTACTAAAAATGGTTTGAAGTACTTGAATAGCTTGAATTTGCATTGGGATGGCTGAGGAAAAGTCATCTGGGCTACCCTGCCAGCTGAGCTGGAGAGGGCATCAAAATTTCTGAGAAGATGGCTGCAAGCAGACACTGGCCACCAGCCTAACAGGTTGTGCTGTCTACCAGGGCATTTTTTTGTCAGCGATACGGAGGGCAGAAATATATGTGCAGATGAGATTTAATTTAACTTATTCACTTTTACTTACAAGCTTTAGGTTTTACAGAACAGAAAACAGTAACAGGGCTGTTTTCCAAGGATTGCATCCTCCCTTGTCTTTTCCCACCTGGGAATGATGAAGTTATTTACTGGAAGAAAGGGGACAAAAATGTGCACAGCTACTACTACCAGAGGGATCAGCTGGAAAGACAAGACCCAGATTACAGACACAGAACACACCTTTTCCATGAGAACATTCCTGGTGGAAATGCCTCCTTGAAACTTAGTAATGTGACCTTGACTGATGAGGGCCCTTATAGTTGCTATGTGGGAACACAGCAAACTAAAACAGAAGTGGAAGTCACACTGCGTGTAAAAGGTCAGTAAGACATCAAAAATGCTTGGATCATGCCAGAGGAAATGTCATTACACCAACAGATTTTCTTGTGTTATTTCTGGCATGAAATCAAAATCCTCCAACCCAGTAGAGCACCTTTTGGGCCTGATGGTGTTATCAAGCAATTCATTTTCTTTGGTGAAACGTTGTAACGCAAGTTGAAAAATTACAGTGCAACACTTGTTCTTATAACCTACTGCACTGTGATTTCTAAGGGGTAATTAGGTAGTACTCTTGAGGTTTAAAACATTATGTGGCTTGTCGGAACAGTACAGACCCTGGCATTGCCAGTAAGTAATGCTATGGTTTTTTGTTTGTTTGTTTTTTAAATCTACAGTTTCCTCTTATTATGCCCTGGAATACCAAAAGACAGACACAAAAAGGATGCTGAAGTGCTATGCCTTTCTCACTTATCCAGCACCACGTATATCTTGGGTACAAGGCAATACACCCATCCAAGAAACAGGTCAGAAGGAAGCCAGGGATGGAGTTCTCTATTCTCTTAGAAGTGACCAGAGCATTACAAACACAGCTGATCCTTACTACTGTCATATTCATCTCCCTCATGAAGAGTGGTCTGCTGAATGGACAATGCAAGGTAGGAATGAATGGAAGTCTCTTCCTGCGTCATTACTGAATGTCACAGCTGGCTTCAGAGCCAAATTAAATACAGTATTTCTGCAGTGGGGTGACATGGATAAAGGGTGAAGCAAAAGTGTGCCTTCCTCTTTGAAACTCATCTGTTACGATTACAAGACAGCATAACTGCAAGAAGTAGGGAAAAGAAGCCCACACTTGTGTAAGTTAGCTTTACTCTGAATGTTTTTTCCGTATCAGTTTCAAGAGGTGCATAATAACCAAACTTTACACTCTTACCAAGAAAAGAATGAACTCAGACAAAATAAATGAAAACCTTAGTGAACCTGTGGGTTATATGAGGGAGGGGAAAGTTGGCCAGCTGTTCTGGATGGATACGCTCCTTACTCAGTCCATCCCCCATCTTTAGCAAGAGAGTTGTCAGTACTGTTTGATGCTTTCGTTGTACTTCACTTCTCTTGTACTGGGTTGAGTGCTGGGAGTGGAGAGCAGGAAGCTGGCATTTGAACAAACAGTAGCTCGTTTTGTCAGTTAAGGAAAAATGGGGCTACAAAATTTCAAGTCTCCATTTTTTCCTCCTCCTGAATTTCACTAGAAAGTCAGTTCAAGTAAATAACTGGTACTTTTCAACCTCTCCTGTTTCTTAAGCAATACTTTTTAATTGGATCAAGAGCAACGCAAGAGCAATTCCCTTGTGGGATGTGCATGGCTGCTACCATCGCCCTGATTTCCCTCTAAAGTGTACCCAGACACTCTCAGCTCCTAATCCCCTGTATATGCTTCAGAATAAAAGTGCAGTTTCTAATTTACATACAGTATGGAAGGTTTCAAGTATGGCATCATAGTAGGTAACAAGTGCACTGTGTCTATTTTGTTAATCTGTCCTTCCAATCCACAAGAGAAAAAGGTACATTTCATTACACTTTTGTTCGCATCCATCTATCCTCTCAGTGGAACATTTGGAAAATATACTGCTTTGCTTTTCCTATAATAGCAGTGTGGGGTACAGCGTTGTGTTGTTTTGTCCTCATGGTTTTCAATCCCACAGCTCTGTTCATTCAGCCCCACACAGAGAAACCCAGCGTGGTTACACATGTCAAAACAACATACCAGTTTCCTCTCCGGCAGACTGCCAGCCACCACAGCTTCCTCTGTTCTTCCTTCCTTTGCAGCAGGTCCCTGTTGTCAAATTGATAATTGTGCTATATTAATTTGTCTTATATTAGTATTTTATACATTAGCTCCACTTTCCTTCCCTTTCCTTTTTTTTACAGCTATTTATTAATTATAACTGTTCTGCACAGACAGGTAAAGTACTTAGGTCCACCATAGCTGAAAGCTATGTCTAACTAAATACAATCTTTTTATTCTTTTAATTAAATTGTATTGTAAGTTTTACCCTTTTGCTTTAAATGTGCAGGTATTCAGTTATTTGCATTTTCTCTCGGCTCCAAACATGGAATTTCACGCTACTTTACGCAGTGACTTAGACTATGTTGAATCACTTTTATTAATGAGCCCTCCCAATTAGAGGCGAAATAGGCACATGAAAACAAAATAATTTTCATAAGTATAACTAATACCAATTAGATATTTTTATTTTTTTAATGTAAGATAGGTTTGCTTTTAAAAACTTCAGATGCTTCTAGAAGCCTACTGTGATATTTGAATATGATATCAAAATAGTGAAATATATTTTTATGTTCGTCCACAACAGTATCAAACTTCATTAAAAAAATCAGAAAATTTCTAAATAACCTTCGGTCTTTTCCAAAAAACTTGCAGAGGATTCTTCAATTATCTGTTTCAGACCAACTGTCTAATGTGGAAGGAAATAGCACTGCAATTCCCTGTGAATACAACAGTGACACTGCAAACACTGAAGGTTTCAGTGTTGTCTGGACATTTCATAAAAATGCAGTGAGTTCAGTCCTGGCCTCTTTCAATGGTACATCTCACTCTTACCAGCCTCGAGTCCAGATTAACCAAACTGACTTTTCACTGATGTTGCGTGATCTTACTTCAAACGACAGTGGAGAATATCTGTGTAATATTTCAACACCTCACCACACAAAACTTACAGTAAGAACTTTGCAAGTTGGTAAGTTGCTACTCTTTCCATTTTGGAGGATGGGGACCAGTGAAGGGAATGCAGAGCCAAAGGGTCAATCAAAAATTAAAAATATTGAGAAAAATTATCTTGTGTAATAAGTACAGGTGGGTAGAAGAGATATTCTATTATTTTTGTCCCAGAAAAAAAAAAAAAAGTTACTTAAGATGTATTTATTTAAAGACTTGAAGTTTCTTTTTTTTTCAGTCAGCAGCTTGTGGCAAAGGTCTCAAAATTGGTGGCTGCCCTCAGTTGCCACCAACAGCTCTCAGCTGAGGGCATAGGGAAACTCTCAGTCATGTCCTAAATGCTCCACTAATAGCTGACACAGTAGGTCTTTAAAAGTAGCAGGGGCATGAAGGGAATCCCAAAAATGTGGTATAAATTTGCCTGCAGCAGTAATCTTGTAGAGGAGGGTGCACAGTTGTTATTTTCAAAGCTTTAATTCTATACAGGAGGCCTTTTTTAGATCTAGGGATATATATGATTATATGCACGTCTGCATTTTTATGAACTGTAGTATATTTCCAGCTGTGAAGTCTTAGTTACAGTTACTCCATTGTCTCCAGTTTCAAGTAGACTTACTGATTAATTTTTCTATCTGTTGAAAACTCCTACCAAAGGATAAAAAAAAAAAAAAAATCACTCCCACTTTCTAAAATAGTGCAAATGAATTACAGATTTGTTCAAAAATAGTATGCTGTTTGGGATGCAGACTCCTTAAATCCCAGTCCAAAAGGAGGAGGAAGAGAAACAGTTCAAACAGTAGCACAAAGGCATTTTATGCAATTAAATACAATATAAAAGAGTGAAAACTAATATAAGGCACCTCATCTGTGGGTTTTGTTTATTTTTTTTTAAGAAAGAAGAGAACTTCAAAGAAGTGAAAAAAAGAGGCAAGATAGCAGAAAAGAGTCTAGAATAAGTGATATTAACTGCATATTCTTGTCTTCCTTTGTCCCCCCTTCACCATGATAGCTTAGTTTCAGTCTGAAAACTGGATGCAGGGTATGTGTGAAGTGGTGGTGGCTATATGCAATCTCAAGGAGGGGAGTTAAACAGTTAAGTCAGACAAACACACTTCCTTGCAGCTCGAATTCCAGCATGTTCTTCCTTATCCTGTAAACCTAATATTGTGCCTCCGAAGTGGAGGGCATTGAAAACCTCCAAGGAGTTACACGCTTAGGAGGACAAGTCCATCAGTCTCCCTCTACATTTACTGGAGACAGACACATGCACCTATCCAGGCCAAATATGACCTGGACCATTCTCTACAAATGCCTTTCTCTAGCTGCTCTCCGCAGATGGATCTTAAAATAGCCATAGGTGATACAAATCCCCTCTTTAGCGGCTAAAGCACTGTGCCCCTCACAGAATTTTCCTACTTGTGGACCAGAAATACATTTTACAGAACAGAGAAGGCACTTACCGGAGAGATTAGCATCTTTGTGGCAGCACAGGCTGAAAGCAGGTCAGCAGACAGAGACAGTAGGTCACAAGCTAGATCAGTATGTTGGATAGGGGTCATAGCACAGCAGCTTCTCAACCACCAAAAGATTTCCAAGGGCCACTGAAAAGGAGACTTGAAAAGGGGAAAGTAAGATGAATTTGCAGTCATTTGGGAGGCCTTCTCCTGTGTGAAGAAAGGTCGCAGTTTAAAGCTGCTCTGCCAGAGGAACAAAGACGTGAACACAGGTCAGCATGTGGGGACAGAGCAAAGTGAAAGGCAATGAGTAGATCAAATGCTCTGTTTTGGCCGTTCTCAGGTGTGAACTGTTTGCTAGCCATCCTGAGGAAGTTCCCTGTGGTGTACAGATTTTTCAAATTCTTTGGATGAGACACAGCAGGGGAAAGGAAGCCTGAAGTAGAAAAATCATACTTAAAGGAATGAGTCTTCCGGGTCTGAGTGTTCTCAGGTTGTTTAAATTGGCTGGAGTAATGAGATGGTTGGTGCCTTGCAGAGGTTTCTGTTAGATGGGCTCTCATCTCCTGTGGAATCTTGTCACCACCCACCTGAGGATCTGCTGCTTTTTGTGCCCACCTGGATTGCATGGTTGCATCATGAAGTTGGGAAACATTTCAGATGAAAGTTGCAAAGATTTCACAATAGAAATCATGAAATCTGTGGTGCAGGCTGGGTTAACGCTTACTGGGTTGTTCTACTGGAGCTCAGCAGTACCGTTAATGGCACCGAGCACTGCACCTGGAGGCAGTGGTTACCATTGTGGGCAGCTGATTGTTTTTAAATGGGACTTGTATTAAGAAGTCATCAAATCATATTACACGAGCATACATGGAACTTTGTATCAGCACAGTTAAGTAAAATAGTCTGCTTTCAGCTATTCACGCTTAAGTCATTAAAGTATCATTTTAAAGTCTTACAGTGTGGGTCAAGTAAGTTGAACATTGTAGTATTAGTAACATCAAAGAAAAAACTGAGACATTCTCCCAAAATCATAGCTTTTAGATTATAAATAAGAGAAAAATCATAACTTTTGGTATACTTACTGAACAATAGTGGACATTAATTTGCGATATAAAGCACTCCTGTTAAACTTTTTGGAATTTGTATTTTTAAAGAACATTCAGGTAACACCGGGTTCATTGTGCTAGGAGTGATCATTGCAGTGCTGCTAGTAGGAGTCCCTTCGTACATCTGCTACAAGGTATGTACAATCATTAGGGGATTTATTTTTCAAGGTAATATTAAGCTTAAATCCAGATCTTGAATGTTTGACCAAAACATAAATCTTATTTTTATGGGTTAAGGCATGCAAAAAAGACTGAAAATGTAGGATTTTAAGTCTCAGCATAAATAAATTGTCCTCATTCTTGCTGTTTTCTATGCCCAGATGGCTCTTGTTGGTACATCTGTGCAATAGTGTTTTTGTTGTCACCATGTTAATGTGACCTTCCCTTGACCAGATGCTCTCCTGTGCTCTATAAAAGGATGAAAAAGTTGGTTATCCTTCACAAGTACTTTCTGATAACTTGCTTTAAAAGCAATCAAAACGATTGGTTTTATCTCACTCTTGTTTAAGACACAAAAAAACTCAAACCAAAACATGAAGTCCCTCAAACAATGCACATACCTAGTCTTAATTAGGGCTCAAATTACTATTCCAATTATATGCAATGTCAAAACTTACTGAAACTGCAGTGTGAAAAGCTATACAACTTGCTTTGCTTAGGAGACTGTTGACAGGTCCCAGATCTGGTCTCTCCACACATGACTCCTATTTACTAGCATGCAGCTTCTTCAAGTGGATGCGTTTTATTCTTGTACATTTGTAATAGGCTGGCTCTGTCTTACAGTATTCTGTCTTCTTCCCCTGCATTTGTGGGAGTATGCTTAAAAAATGAACTTTAACTTATAGTCGTTGGGGTGTATCTTTCTGTATCTGGCAGTACAGCCCTATCCATGAACCATACCTTCAAACTCCCTGGGCCTTAAGATTTTGTCACAGCCTGAATTTGATAGGCTTCAGAAGATGCTTAATGATGGTTACCATGAGGTTCAACAAGAACCCACCAGAAAACAGCTCAATCTTTTTTCATTTTTCTCTCACTCAGACGTTCACTTCCATGCTTCTTATTAGTCAATATGAATGCTAACATGCTTTAAAGATTATAACATACTTTAGAGATGTAGCAGTTTAGTTTAAAGAATTTAAGCAAGATTCATTTATCTTGGGACCTGTTGAGACCTTCAGCATATCACAAGAGGAAGTGGAACAGTTTACAGCTTAACTCAGGTTACATTGATGGAGGACTAGATGGAAGAAGCAGGAATGTTTCTGCACAGTTATGTGAATGTTTATTTTACTCAGCTAATGTTAAAATGGAAAACACTGATTATCTTTATAGTCAATGTGTCCTGTTCTGTTCCCATTAGAGAATTAATTTTGCACATCAGTAGTTCTTACAAACACTTTTGTTTTCACTAGAAACGCAGAAGAAGACGACGAAGAAGAAACTAATGAGCACCTTGACGCACTGGAAGAAAATCTCTCTCTGCACACACAGATGCTACTGAGATTGCTGCTGAAAAGAACAAAGAGTTCCTTCACCTCCCCTAATGAATTACACTAAGAGCCACATAGAAATATGATTATCTGAGCAACAGTAACAAACAACTGAACTGATAGGAAAAAAAACCCAGACAAGGCAATTGACACTTGCATGTGAGGAGTCAGCATGAAAAAACTGGAACTTGAATATCCTAAAGGCACAATGAAAAAGTTTCCACAGAAGAAGATGCAGTTTTGAGGGATTTTTTTTTTTCAGTATGAGGGAAAGAGAGAGCTTACCGTTTTGCACTTCATTTAGTATTTTAATTTCAAACAAAAATAACTTCCCTGTTTAAAAGTGGAAAAGATCTAAGAGAACATCCTTTTCTGAGCCACAGGCAGTCTTGATGGGACATGGCCCTCCACAGCATCTCCTATGTCTCTCCTGCAGCTGGTGAACAAAAGTCCTGGTGGTAGTAGTAGTTTCTAAACTGACTGTTCATATGAAAAAGTTTATTTTCTGCTCTCCTACAAAACTCAAGGGCTGTCCCCCTGCACAGGTTTAATCTGTGCTGCTTTAACAATCTGCACATGAAATACATGAGGCTGTGAAGCATGACTGGATTTGTGCTTGGTTTTGATTTTGTCAGAGATCTGCCAATTAGGCTTTGTTCCAACATAATGAAGTGGGCTGTTGGCAAACGTCATCTTTTATTGATCCCTGGGGCTTAGCAAGTTAGAAATAAAAAGAAATGAATGGAATACACTATACAGTCTCTTTGAATTTTCACTTGATGTTTATTTCTGTAAGTGCTTATTTTTTTCTACATCTGCTTTCAGTTGAGCCTGATTATATCAAGCATCTTCTTATGTCTGTCAGCTTGGACTGTACTTACTCCTCTTCATGAACCTGAAATGCAATTGAGAGAGTAAACAACTGTTAAAAATGGAAGTGTTGAGGGAGTTTTAGAGTAAGTTCACAAGTAAATGACAAAAGCTTCTCTTCACTACTTCTTCTGCTCCCTGGTGTTACACCAGTTTGTATCTGAAATAGACTAGCACCAATCTAGCCAACCTTTGCCACCTTAACTTGGGCTAACAATGCAGGTTTCTTGTCCTTCTGCTAGAGAATAAAATCCTTTGATAGCAGGTGACTTTTATACAACCGTGTTTCAATAGACGGTGGTTATTTTGAATCACACACACTTCCCAGAGTTTCCAGGAACATGAGTACTAGTAGCAGTAGACAAAGTATTTCTAATGCTACACAATTAAAGTAGTATCTCCAGTGCCTTTCTCTCCACAAAGGAGATGTGTCATGACTTTTTGTACAACACATGCTGCCCGGTCATGTTTCCTGGCAGCTGCTGCCATTACCATCGCAAGTTCCTTTTTGTGGAGATGACCCCCACTGTACTGTTGAGTTCATCTTTTGACAGCACAATACTCTGCTTAAGCCAAAGTTGGATTTGGTGTTAGCAAACTAGCACCTGACTAATAAAAACAAGCATCCACTTTTCTATTTGATGCAGAAAGAGGGTACTTGTAAGATACAGGGAATAAACAGCACTCTTAACAGTATTTAAAAAAGGAATTACTCTCATGGTGTACCTGTTTCATTGCTGTGTGATGCCATGGCTTTGTGAACTTATATTGGGGCTGGAATAATTTAATGAAAAAAATGCGGAAATATTTTACTCTTAAAAGCTGCAAAACTTTTTCTGAGCTTCAGTTACAGCACTGCTTCCATCATACATGTGAGAGACCAGATCTTCGTGCAGTTTTAATGTAGCTCTGCTGTAGTCAGTGGAGTTACAGCCACTTATATCAGTCAAAGGTGACTTTATTAGTCCAATAGAAAAGCGGAAACTGGAGTGTTTCCTCCCACAGAATGGTGAATACAGATGAGAGAAGGAAGGTTTTGGGATCAAGTGTGATAAAACCAACAAAATTATACAGAAAGGTGGTTTTTTTTCCTTTTTCATGACACAGGAGCTTCACCCCCATAAAACTTACTTGGCATTAAGCACAGCAGTTTATGTTTAACTTGCAAATGAAATAGATAAACCAATGACCCAGCTTCTCTCCCTATCATTCCTACAAGCAACAACCCCACTCTTACTTGCCCTGGTTGCCACAAGGCAAACTTAGATAAGCAAAGGTTTGCTTTCAGTTACAGACTAAGGCCTTAGACACCTTTTAGTTTCATCAATATTATTCTACTTCCATTCTGCTCAAGTGCACAACACCCCAAATATATTTCTAATGACTTCCCTGCACCTAAGTGACTAATTACTAATATTTTCTTTCTACCCAGCTCTTCAGATCAATGCAACATCATTGAAAGAGCAATGTTAAAATACCTGGCAATCTGCTAGTGCAGTAAACCCAAGGCTGTATTACATACATAGAAATCTACAACATCAGAGGGAGAAAAAGATAGAGCTTTTTAATATCCCTTGCAAAAAAACCCCCAAAATCAGCAGTTCTGGAAACTTCTGGCTGCTGAACGTAAAAGTTAAATCACAACACCAAGAGGACAGAGAATTTGTTTTGCCTGAACATCAGGTTGCTGTCCTAAAGACTTACCTGAATGTTAAAATAAAAAGTAGATTAAAACTAAAACTGTAGTAAACAAGAATTCATTCTAGTCCACACTACTTTAAGAGATGTAACAGATCTTCCTGCACCTGTAGCATCCGCTACTGTGTATTAAACAGTCACATTTACCCCATATGGTATAGCCATACCTTTTTCATGCCAATATCTCTTGACTTGCTCCTCAGCTTATTAACTTGAGATTCAGCTATTTCAGCCCGTTCTTCAGCATCATCCAGATCATGTTGCTGTTTTCTGTACTTCGAAAGGTACAGGTTGGCTTGAGCTTCCTGGTGAGAGAAAACAGTGCAGCTGATTTCCTCCTGTCCATGTGAAGCAAAGCTTTCCATTTCAAGTGGGATGGCAAGTGCTCAGCAAGACTAGTTAACACCTGTATGGAAACCAATTGCCTCCTGGAGAATTAAGATTGTTGTTCGTTACAGAGCTGATGTTTCCAGTGGCACTCTCCATGTTAGGTGAGTTGGGAGGTTCTCAACATGACACCTAAGGGACTGGGAGGAAAAAAGTCTTTCCTGTTCCTTCCTTTCCCCCCTTCCCTTGCAAATTATACTGCAGACTTAAGATAAAATTGAATACCTTTTCTTAAATATAATCATATTTTATATAAATACATTTATACGTACAGGGTTTATATGAATATAAATATTAATACGCACTGAAAATGTGTATTTGTACTAAAAGATTCTGTGGATTAAAGATTGTGGGTTTAGGACAATACATTTCTCAAAGCTAAAAGAACCCAAATAGTTACTTACAGCTTCTTCTGCCTGGTGCTTGTAGCTCTTCACTTTTAACTGTAGCTTGTCAATCAGATCCTGCATCCTGGCCAGATTCTTCTTATCTTCCTCTGACTGCATCAAAACACCATTAATTTGGTTGACAGTGTAAAAAGGACTAAAGCATCTTCCATAATGAAACAGGTATGGCTGCCATATATATAATATTAAAACATACAGTTCAAAATACAAACAAGCCATATTGCAATAATCCCAAGTATAGATGAGGAAACTTCTATAGATTGATTAAAGATGTATGTAAGCCTGGAGGCTGAGGACTAAAAGACAGTACCCTCCCTATTCATATGTATGTAAATACAGATATATATATATATACACGGATATATATGCGCACACACTTACAGAGGTATACACATACATACACACAGAGTTCCTCACTCAGGGGTGAGGAGCACTCATTATTTAGTGAAACAGACTTATGGGCAGGCCTAAAAATATGTAATTTGCATATTGTAAAGTCTGGTTTGGAGGCATTTTTGGTAAAAGCAGCCAGGTTTAAGCTGTCATAGTCCATAAGCAGAAGGACAACAACCTTCAGCCTCTCTCTGTTTTACTCTCAGTAAAACAACAGGTAGGAGGCTGAATGATCTCCTAAAGCAGAAGGATGGGATTATCTTAAGAATGCTGTTGAAAGCAAAAGGATCAGTGCTCTGTGCTGAAACCTTTTTCTGGAAGGCAAGCAGCAACAGCAGCCACCTTCAGGAAACCTGTGGGAGGCTCAAGGGTAGACCTGGCTGCTCAGCGATAGGTGACAGAGCCCTGGGACTGGGCAACGCTACACTGAATGATGAATTAGAGTCAACCTAATCCTTCTGGCTTTTTTAGCAACATCAGCACAGCTGAGAGACAGCTGGGCTTACTCTTCTCTTGCAGTGTGAATAGTTATTTAATCCTGCTCCATATTAATACTGCACTAAAACTGTCCAAATCCCAGCAACAGAGGCTTTCTAACATTATTCACAGTGAGTCAGGCAAAATGATGGTAGCCCTAGGGAGAAGTTCCTCCTATCCCAAAAGCTTCCTGGGTAATATGCCATCCTTCGTCCTTCACTGAAACACTGAGGCAACTTAAGACACTGTTTGGGAGAACTCATTTCTTTCCAGTGACCTAGTGTCTACTTGAGTCCTCAGCGTACCTGGTAAGTCAGCTCTTTGATGCGTCTCTCAAACTTGCGGGCTCCTTTTTGGGCATCTGAATTGCGACGGAGTTCAGTCTCAAGTTCATTCTCCAGCTCACGAACCTGCAAAACAAGGAAAAGCCC